TTCACGAAATTTGGTGAAAACTTACCTATTTATGTCCCAAACACGCTGTAATTTTTTTGATTTGAAATATTTATTTTTTCACCTTATTTTTACTTAATATCGAAAAAGCACCCTAATTTTCAATCGAAAATTCTCACGTCAAAATATCTGCTTTTTTAAAAACGTCGGTGGGCTTTTTCTTCGTTGAAATCTCTACATTCTGATGGTGTAAAAAAATATATATTACTATGGTAAGTTTTCTCCGGAAATGCAAAGAAACGAAAAAACTAGAATCCGAAATTTTTTTTCCAATCATTTTGTACAATTTTAAGCTATTTATTAAAATTTACACTTTAATTACTCAAAAAACGTAAGATCCCATAACATTGATAAACAAAAAAGTTACAAATCCATAAAACATAAAGATTGCAAAACACATGCGAAAATAGTTGTTCTAAATATTAAAGATAGAATTTAAAGGAAATTTATCTAAAAAATGTCACTGCTGCTATTTTTTTCAGTAAAAAAGTTGATTTATTAAATTCTAATTACATTTATGTCATAGAAAATCTCATAATATACAGGGTGCCCCATTTTTATTCTGAAAAAATTCAGGAAAAGGTAGATCCGATAAAATTAAAGGGACTTTCCTATATAAACTTATTTCGAAATCTGAACCGTTTCCGAAATACAGGGTGTTGCAGTTGAATTTATTTTGTCATTTTTTGTTAATATCTCTTGAGTTATAAACCAATTGTTCTCAAATTTTGTGTGGTGAATGCCACAGTACACTAATACTAATACACAAAATCTCAGCTCGACAGAAAACGTGTTACGTCACTGACTGATATTAAAATTTTAAAATAATAAATAATTTCAATTTTCCGTGCATTGTTCTGCCAAAAAGTATTCTTACGTTTTCTCCATAATAGGCACCGTTACGGAGTAAACCGACATTTTATAAAATCATCCCTGATCTTAATTTTTAGCAGAACTGTTTTCATCAACAACTGAAACGCTCAGGTTGTTTTAATTTGACTTCAGTATTCCTTATCTAAAAAATGTTAAAGCACATTCCTGGTTAATTGAATATTATCTGTGATGTTCAATTCTGAAAGTGTACCAGTAATATAGCAACTAATATTAAACGTTCAAATTGCAAGCCACTGGCTGCAATACACTTTGTTCACTCGTAGTGACAGAAAATTAAAAATCAGAGCTGCTTTGAAAACAGTTTTGGTTGTCATAATAAACTTGACATGATCACTCTTTGCTGAGAAACGAAAACTTTTTACATTAATTACTCGGATTTAGCTTTTTATAAAATACCATTAAGTGCTTTAATAATGCCATATAAATTTTCAAATGCTGAATATGCTGATATTGTGTTCTGTTACGGATTGTGTAATGGTAACGCATTGAAGGCATCTCGAGAATACAGACGAAGG